CCCCGCCGCCGCTGAGAGCCTTCCGAACTCTCAAAGGGCTGTCTCCAATGGCGGGGAGGGGAAGTCCTTTGAGAGCTCGGAAGGCAAATGTCGGTGGTGGCTTTGGGGTCCTTCCAAAGCCACCGCCCACCGACTGCCGACATTTTCCCCCAGCTGAGCGGTGGGGCTTTGAAGCTCCCGCTGCTCAGCTGGGGGAAAATGCCGAAGGCCCCATTTTCGGCCAGCTGGTCGGCGGTTCCAAAATGGCCGCCCGCTGTGTTGCCTCGCTTTAGAGGCACCAAAAATGGCCGCCCCTATGGAGGATCTTCGCTCAATGATGAGTTTTAAGCCCATAGGAACGCATTAAACAAAGTTTAATGCGTTTCTATGGGCTTTTTTGTTCCGTTTAGCGATGTTTCCGGATAGCGACGATTAATCCGGAATGGATTAACGTCGCTATGCGGGGCACCACTGTATTTATGAAAAGAGACAGGGCATGCAAATCAACATCATCTTAAGAATGGTGGGGAATACTGTATATTTTGAGTTATGATTGTACTTTAGCTTATGTTTCTGTTAAGTTTTGTTTATTTTGTGTTAAAAAGTTAAAAATAAAATTTGAAAAAGCTTGAATCAGTTATATTTAGTTAACAGAATTTTATGAAACTGTAATGATTATGTCAACCTCTCAAAACCTGTTAACAACAAGGAATTAAACAGCCACTGGAACGAGGGCAAGATCCAGTGTCGTACATGACAACTTCTCTCATGCAAAGGAACTTTCCTGCACCTTCCCCCACTTCCACAAGCTGCTATGGTGGATCCCTCAACCCTCCAAAAGCATATGAGGGAGAGGGATACAGGAGGGAAAGGGTATCTGTCACTGAAGGACACCATTTTGCTGGCAGAGAGACTAGACTTTACCCAATGACTTCAATTTAGATAGATTTGGTGGTTTGGGGAGAGAGGTACCCTATATTTTTATTTCCAGGGTCTGCTTCTACCCCCAACATTTCACATAATCCATAAACAGTAAATAACAATAAATATCATAGAAAAACTATACCAAATTACCTCTTCTACGTTGGAAGCAGTTTTGGCAGATGTCTCCATAAAGATAAGCCCATGCTCTCGTGCAAATGCTTCACCTTCTTCTTTTTTCACTTCTCTTCTAGACTCTAGATCACTAATGCAACAAAACAAGGTTATTTTCTGTCCACGAACAGGCCTGCTGCCTATATATGCCTCTTTAAATAATATCAAATTATGTAAAATTGTCTTTGTACATTCTAGGTAATGCTATATTTGTTGATGTTCAGCATAGATGTTTATATCTTTCATAATCCATTGATTATAACTCATTAAAAACCCACACTACATCTTAGGAGGAGATGAGATGAGAGGACAGATATATAAACAGGAGCCAATAAGTTGCCTTTTTTTGCAGAAATCATGCTGCTTGAAGAATGTATGAAAGAAAATAAAGATGACAACTAATTTTGAATTAGTCTCTTTCTTCTATTAACCAGGCAAAATCTTCCTTCTTTACCATACCACTGCCAACATGTAATCTCCAAAACCTGCTTGACTATTCTAAAGTTAGTGAGTAAAAAGTAAATTGTATGCAAGCCACGGCTGCTGGAGGATAGTTGAAACTACAGCACATTAATTGCTAAATTTCAGCAAAACTTCTGAAAAAAAATGATATTGTATCAGAAACTTTAATGGAGGCACACCACCTTTTCTCCAGGTAACAAGCGTTGTTATCTTGACCCTCGATGACAACAATAAAAAGAACACTTAAAAATCAAATCAAAAGCTTACAAGCTATGAAAAAATGTGAGGTGCAGTTATTTCAAAATTAATTCTTGAAGGGTATAATTTAGACCAAAAAAGGGGGTCAACTTTAAAATTAGTGTTCATAATTAGCATGTTGTATAATTGTAAAGACAAAGAATGACCTAAGTATAGGATAAGAAAAGGGGATTTAAATATATTTATCTTTTCAGTGCATTTAACACTACAATAGGATTTTATACTAACACAAAATTTCTCTCTTCTTACACAGCCTAAAAGTTTCTCAAACCAAGAGCAGCAAATATTAAAAGAAACACAGGAATTTCAGCCTTTGTTACTGGCTAAACTATGCTGCTTTAGAAAGTTTTATTTTACCTCTTATTTCCAATAAGCATAATGACCATGTTGGAATTGGAATGTTGGCGAGCATCTTCTAACCATGTTGTCAAATGGTTGAAAGTGTCTCTTCTGAAAAGGAAACAAAGTATAAGTCAATGATTATGAAACAAACAAAGGCTGAAATCCTGTTGCATGACTTTACACTGTGCAATGAGGATGATGTCATCAGCCATGGCCATCTTAGGGTAAAGAGGATCCCCAGGAGTACATAATTTTTTTATTACCTTCAAACAATAGTGGCATGGCCACAGACGATGATGTAATCCTTGCAGGCAGCAAAGCTTTTCAGCCATTGTTGTTAATATACACAAAGGTTTCTATTTGAAGTTTTATATCCCAAATAATTTGTTATCAATTCAAGACAAATTGCAAAGTAATAAAACTATTAATCAGTTAAAGCAGGGATTAGTCAACTTTGGGGCACATCAGAGTCAAATTTTCACCTACGATTCTGCACAGCCTGCACTAGGTCCAGAAACGACTGAACATTCAGGGGTGGTGAGATTAAAAAAGGAAATGAGCCCATCTATTGTTGATTTTTGTTGTTGCTATCATTAAGGAAGTTTGAGGTCACAGAGGCCCTGTGACACCCCAGTATAAAAACCACATCACTCCTGGCTGGGTGCCTCTGCAGAAACCACTTTTTTTGGCAAAAGTTCTATTATTTTTTCTAGCAGGTAAGGCCATAGGAGGGTCTCAAGGAAACTGTGATTTGCCTACTCTTGAATTAAAGCACATTATAAATCTCTTTTAAAAATACTTTAAAACGTACTTTTTGGTACATTTTTTCTTTTAAAACATCAAAACATTGCAATAAAACAATAAGTAAAGCGAACAAAACGAAAGACATTTAAAACAAGTAATTAAAAACTGAATCAATGTTATCAATTTAGGAAAATAACTAGGAAGAAGTAGGTTTTTAGTGGATAGTCAAAACACCCAACAATTTCAATGGGGGCATCATTTCACTTGGGATGTGTAGTAACAAAAAAGTCTCTCATCAGTGCTGCAATCACAGGTGCTTCAACAGACCACGGAACAGTAAGCAGATCCTCCCCTCTTATCCATGTGTAAAGTCTCAGAAACATGCTGCTGATCTGTAACATCTGTTCTTCAAGCAGTCGTCTATGCATTCACACTAATAGCTGCAGAATCACGCCCTTGGAACCTTAATGATGCAGAGAAAGTTCTGGCAATAATCCTGAACTCTACTGATAATGCATGTCCCAGCATACTGCCCCTCAGTTGAGAAAACTGGACAACACAGAGGCTGAATTTTAATTGCTAGCAGATGCCAAGGAAGAGAAGGGCAGATGATGTAAATGTATAGATAGACACTCAAATAATGAAAACTACAAGTAATTCTACAACTAATTATAAGTAATTACAACTAAGATTACTGTATTTTTTGCTCCATAAGACAGTTTTTTCCTCCCAAATAGAGGGGGAGAAAGTATGTGCGTCTTATGGAGTAAATACAGTAAAAAAAGGGTTCAGCCACCACCACCCAGAAGCCTCCCACTGCCATGCTGGGAGGCCTCTGAACTGGCACCAGAGACTGCTTGCTGTTTGGACCTCACCATTCCGCACTGCTAGCTTTCCAGGATCTGCTTCCTGCAGCCCACCTGGAAAACCAGCAAGGCCAACGGCAGCAGGCAGTGAAAACAGCCAAGGACCAAAGGGGAAAGGGTGATTCTAGAAAGAACAGGGGAAACCATAAACACAGCCCCCCACTTAGGCAGTTGATTTTTCCCACATTTGGGGAAATCACAGGGGTCAGCACATCCAAAGTGCAATAGATGAGCCTTACCCTGGGAAAACCACATTTACAATAATGGTATCTCCCCTGCCAGGTATGAGTTGGAATGGCCCCTCCAACTCCTGCCCCTTTCTGTGGCCTGTCGCCCAAAGGCATGGTGACCCCAGCTGCACCTCCTGATCAGAACAGGGCTGCACAGCCCCAGTCCCGAAAGAGGCCAGGAGAGCTCTTCAGTGTTTTGGGGTGCCCCACAGGACCCCCATCAGGGGCTGGATATTCCTCCCACAATCTTCCAGTGCACAGATATTAGCATACCTAATATGCGGGGAAGGCAGGGAAAGCGGGGAAATTCAAACTTTCAGTTAGTGAAGAGGCTGCTTGTCTGCTTCCTTGCTAGTCCAAGCAGTTAGAGAGCTGGGAGAGAGACCTGGGACTGCCTGGTATTGTCATTTTTAAATGTAAAATTTAGTTTAAAAGCTGCTTGTTTTGTGTTAAACCGTGCTTGGGTGAAAAGGTGCTCC